TTCGAATCCCTAATATTGAAATTAATATTGATTAATTGAATTTCAAAAATAATCAACAGTCTTCATAATATCTATTTGTATATTTTATTTTTGACAAAATATTAAACCAGCTTTAAAAATATTCTACTGCCTTGTAAATATTTATATAATTATTATGGAAAGTAAATACCGATATTTCTTCATTATTGCATTTAGTACAAATATAATCTCAATATTAAAAAAATGAAAGCACTTCTCCGTTCACCGATTTCTTTAGCACTAGTAACATTATAATAATAGTATAAAGCTGCAGTTTCAAACGATTTCAGTTTCCATCAATTATATCTTGATATTATGTAACCGATTTCTTGTTGGTGTAGGTGATATGATTTTTTATCAGCAATTATTATATCCGTTATCTTTAATACAGCCATGTATATATTACATAATATATTTATGTTGTATATGAAACAATTAAAAAATTGATTTATTATATTATTAATTATTAATTTAATATTAATTTAATATATTCCTAATTGCTTAGCTATATATCATCGATCTAATGTTTTTGTTCTTTATTTATGAGAAGCATTTATTTATTGCCATGAATACCTTGAATTATATTAATGTGGTTTTTAAATATTTTGATTAATTAATATTTTAATTAATAATACGTAGAAATATTGTCAATGGAATATATGAAGATGTTTCAAAATACAGTACTTTTCTATTGATCTTGAATGACTAATCAATAAATTATCAACATATAAATATAAAAATTAAGAAATTAATCGATTTCATATAAATTGCTTTATACTAATAATATTATATGTAACATCTCATTCATAGAAAGTACTTTCCTATAATCTAAAGTTCATTGGAATGTTAATAATTGATACGTTTTCTTCGCTATCGTCTTTATCTAAAGCAAATTTGCTCTTTATATTCTAATTGACGCAACATTTAAATCTAAAGATATATGTGACTGCTTTCCATTTATATACGTATACAAAATCAGATAATCTTCCCTTGTTATTCCTAACTAATATTGAATATATGTTGTTACTCTTTCTCAGGATTTAGTTATTTTTAATTATCTTTTAAATAGTGCAATTTTATTGCGTATTAATTGTTGCAGTAATTGTTGCAATATTGCAGATATATATTGATAAAAATTTAATGCGACGAAGAAATTATGGTACTTGTGTCCATTTTTATTCATATTTCAATTTAGAATTCATAATAAAAATTCTTGAATGAATTGAAAATGAATTAAATTAATTATCATAGACATTTCATTTTACTATAAATGCTTATCATCGATATTAATATAGTCTTTAAATCAGATATATTCTATATTTTTTTCCGATCAAGGACATTAAATGACTGACTGAAATTATACCCCTTAAATCATAAGTGTGCGAGTACTTTAAGACAATCTATAGCAAATATTGCCATAAAATTTGTTATATTGATGCAGTATCTTAATTTTTTTACCCACATTGTCAAACCTCATTTATATTTTTAACCCTATTTATTTAAAAACCGTATTAAATTCTTTTGTATGTATTATTCACTTTCCCAGTTCTGGAACAACTAATTATTCGATTACAATATTAGAAGATAAAAATATTTTATTTCGGATACTCTATAGTATCTTAATGTTGTATTTCATGCAGTTAAAAATTCACTGAATTGATAATAAAAAGTACAATTTGTATAAATAGATTTTTAAGAAAATGCAAAAATTATTTAATTACACAAATAAAAAATAAATTTATATAACAATTAGCATATTAAGTAAAAGATAAGTTTTAGAAGTAATTTAATCAATCATAATACATTAAACAAATTATAATAAATTATTACAAATATTTAAATGATTAAATGCTTTAAATATGTAATATAATAAATACAATTGTATGTATAAATAAAATTTGTAAAAAATCAAATGTATTTTATTCGTTTAAAGTTATATGTATGATTCTTTTTATTTAAACATGGACTTTCTCTACATAAAATTAATTAAGTATGGAATTTTTATATAAATTTCTGAATTTAAACAAGATTTATAATTAATTTATATAAACAATTTTTTATTCAAAACAATATCATAATAATAACAGTTAAAATTACTGTTACTGCTCAACATTATTTTAAAAAGCTTACATTTTCTATATCATTCGATTCTATCAACTACATGTTAATTTTTTTTAATCATTTGAATAATTAAAGAGATAACATTTTTTTTTAATGTAATACTTTTAGTAATAATAAATCAAATTTCTTTCGTAAGCTTAGCCCTTCAATATTGAAAAAATCTTATTCGCTTAATACGAAATTATAAAAATTGAAACCGATGTATAAATTCACCGTATGTGTAACAACATGAAAAAAAAGAAGTTTTTTTCTTTTTTTCATCGGCATTAGAGAGACTTCCAACAGTACCTTAAAAATTCATCGAGGTTTTATGCATCTAAATCTGTCTCTACTTCCTGCAAAAACATCTACTCAAGTTCTGTTCTCTCGTCTGTTATTTTGTACGTTTATCGCATCTTGTTATCTCTATATTCGAAACGCAATTCTAAATTAATTTATGTTACTTAAATACTAAGTTTCATAGTGCGATAACATTTATTATTTTTTACTTATAAATAAAAACATTTTAATTTATTACCGGAAATAGTAGAAAATATTCAAAGTAATGAGAGTGAAAGAGACTAAAAAAGTAAAAGAGAGATAGAAAGAAAAAAATATGACCTTCAAATATTCTTTAAATCTGGTGCGACACCAGACAGACTTTTTATATATGTCATGGAATATCCTAAAAATATAAAAATAAGTTTGTAAATAAACTTAAGTTTTTTACATGGCTTTGTAAGAATGATAATAATATTCACTGGTTAGCTTAGTAATAACTTTGAAATTCATGAATAAGCATCGGTAAAAAATGTGCTGGATGATTCTTATAAATTTTTAGGTATCGATCATGCTTGTTTTATAGAAGATATTTTAAAGTTGTACATGTACTTATATCAGATTTTTTATAATTTAATATATTACAAAATCTGCTTCTATTTTTATAAATTATGTAAAAATATAAATAATATATTTTTAATATAATAAAAGTTATTATGCGACCATGTAATAATATTTATATAAAATAAAATATTGTAAATAAAATTTATAATTTATATTGCTAATTACGATTGATTTATATTATTATAATATCAATTAGCAGTTAGATATTCATTTTTTACAAGCTCTGATTGTTTTTTTGTCTTCTTAAAATTCAATAAATGATTAATAAAAGTACTTTTTTAATATCAAGAATGTAAATGTAAATTCTTTAATAGCAAAAATAAGTATGCGATATAAAAATATTTAAATATAATGGAATGTTAATGAAAATTTTTTAAATTATAAAATTATAAAAATATCATTATATATTTTATAAATATCATTATAAAATTTTATATTTTCTACCATTTTTTTATTGCTTTTCATATAATGTAATTTAATATAAAAATAAAAATTTTCTTCTAGCAGTTTTTATATAATGATCTAGAATAATGTAGATTGAACGAGATGCTCAGGAAAATGGAGAGAAAAATAAAATAATAAAAGGCTAATAGTAGAATAGAAAATACCAAAACCTCTAAGCAATGGACAGCTGGAAAAGTAACGGTAGCTCAAATACAGTGCGAGTGCGTCGGCACATACACATGCACCTTTTAAATACACATCTGTAAAGAGGCGAAATATGAGGCTATCTTCATCTCTTTTGCTATCTCTCTTTGGCAATATGGCCGACAACATAACTGTCGACCTAGAGGAGCAACACTAGAGCTTATTCACGCAAGCGCACGCGCTAGGCTCCACCCACAACGTTTTAGATCGCACCCCTTCCACCCAATACGGCAGCCCAAATCAACCTAACATATACCTGCAGCGCTCTCGCTTCAATCAAGGATGAGAGAGAAATCGATGTCCTTCTCTAACCACTCAAAACCCCGGGAATGTGTTGTTCCCCCATTAAGCGAGGGATGTAAGGGTAGGAGTGTGACCAACCCCGTTTCTAGCACGCGCCGATCTCCGACCACCACCACGAGCCGGGGTAAGCTACAGTATTCTAGCTCTCTTGCACCACTGGATTTATGTAGAAGAGTAAGGGTACTATTGTTGTTGGTGCTACTGCTGCTGTTTTTGCTTATACTTCGCATTTCTAGAATACTAGCATACATCCGCAGAACATGTTGTGCAATCTTACCAACCAGTCAAACGGATGAGTTTCTCTCTCTCTCTCTCTCTCTCTTTCTCTCTATCTATCTATCTATCTATCCATCTATCTATCTGTCTATCTGTCTATCTATCTATCTCTCAGTGATATTGATAACTAAATATTGTTTTGTTCTCAGCATAAGTGAATTGTATTTGTTATGATTTGAAGAAGGTGCGGACACATTTATTGTTGGGAACTGTTTATGCAGCTTAATGTCAGCAAAACGGTGTGTTGTTTAATAAGAATAAAACAAAAATTATTGACTATTCACAAATAGTGTATATAAAATGTATATAAAATGCATATATACAAAAAGAATATTAAACTTATAACCAAGTAACAAAATATGAAAAATAATTTTTAAACAAAATTAAATATTAAAACTGATTATAAGATATAAACTTATAACGGATGTATTATCATTCAACTAAAGATGGCTAGGAGTCGTCTATCCATGAATATTTATATTTAATATTAAATTGAAATACGTTGAAATTAAACATTGTTTAATTAATGTGTAAAATCAAGATTGTACGAAAAATAAAAATAACTGATTATTTAAAAATTCATATAAATGCTTATTGGTAAAATAAAAAAACAATAAATGCTTCTACGAAAATCGTGAAAAGATTGATAAACTACGATAGCATCTATGCGACAGGCTATTTGGATCAGGTCGATTAGCGACCGCTATTATAAACGTCAGTGCTATCAACAGCAATTAGGCTGTTGTTAACCACCCTCAATCGTTAAAAATAACGATATGAATATGATGTATACGACGGACAAAATGATGAGCAGTAAGGGCTTACATGGAACGCCAATATCAGCACCGAGTTGCTTTCCTTCAGGCAGGTATTCACCGCCTCCGTATCGTGCAGCTTCCGATCCTATGGTGCCACCTCCACGACGTTGTATGCCCAATCCTACGGTAAGTTTCCATAAAAATATCATTAAACTGAAGATACTGGATATTGAAAATATTTCAGTATTGAAAACTATACTTTTTATATTAAGAAATCATTGCATTTTTCATATATTTCAACAAGAATTACAGTGTAAATGCAAAATAATACCTATGATATGTTTATACCGTTGCCAATGCATAATTTTAATTCACTTTTTAATACATATTTTATATAAATTTATCTTTCAAAAAATTATCATTATTTTGTAAATCTTATATAAAAAATTATATAAAAAACCAAGTTAGAAAATTGTTTTAAATGTTTGCAAAATTTTTGATATTTTAAAATTTTGGACAATAAAAAAGAAAATATTGTTTTTTAATTATCATAATTCATAAATTATTTCCAATAACAGTATATTTTAGTATTTATACTATTAATTTCGAAAAATATATATAACATAATAAGAGATCATAGATCTTTTATTTAATTAAATCTTTATAAAAGATATATGCATATTATATTATATAAACAATATTAAAATAAAAAAATTATAAACTAAACAAACTAAATTTTAAAATAAAGAAAATATTAAATTTACATAAAATTGAAAAATACTATTTCTTTTTTTTTACTACGGTATCACTGTATGATCGCATTCATATTAAATACAATATGTAATGAAACAAAAATATAAATATCTATTTAATTCATTGTTTAAATATTAGATTTAATAGTTTTGTTGTTTGTTGAATAAAGTTGTTATTGTATTTTTTTAGTATATGTATGAGTTAAAATGGAAAATTAATATCTAATTTAATTATTGTTTACTAAAAATCAAATATATATAAAAGAAAATTTTCCCATATTAAAAATATATGTGTATAAATAAAAATATTAAATGATATACTATGAATCAAAATACACTATAAATATAAATTATATTATGTTCAGCATGATAGTTTACAAATGTAATATTTCAATGATTATAGATTTTTATAAATTTCATAATAATATTCGATTATTAATTGTTTAAATTTTAAAAGTATGAAAATATATAAATACAATTATATTAAATTAATAAAATACAACATAAATATGAATATTATATACATTAATATGTTGTATACAGTAATGACAATACCATAATTTTAAAATTTAAATAATCAATTTATTTCATTGACATAAATAAATAATTAATTATAATTGTATTTAGATGATAATTATGACATAAATGAAATATAATTACTAATTCAAAAACTTTTAAAATAATGAAAGGAACCTGGTTTTTGTGGGATCATAATATTAAAGTAAATTTTCGTATTATTTAAAAATATTTTATAACTTAATATTAATTACTAGAGTTTACTGCAATTCTAAAATTAATTGATTGTATAATATTACATATTGATAAAGTTTATCTCAGTGCTAATTTATAATTAAATTCACTTTCTAATTTTCCTGTTGTATTTTCAAATGCATCGGATAGTTAGTTTAACTATCTTATTATTAGTGCCTTATTCCACACTATCTCTCTCTTTCTCTTTATATATATATCTGCCTTTCTTCTCATTTTATCTCATTCTGTAGCTATAGGAACAGAAGCATTAAGAAAGTAAAACTTCAACATCTCTCAACTGTATCTGTCATTTACAAGCGGCCTTTAAAGCCTTTAGTTTATTCATGTGATATAATAGGATAAAAAGCATTGCGACCACGTTACGCAAAAGGTAGACAGACAATGTAAGAAAGGGAATAGAAAGAAAGTGAAGCGTAAGTGCTTAGATGAGATTACACCAGTACCCGCCACTCATATAGCGGATTCGATATAATCACTACTTCATGATTTTTCCTGTTTCTCCATCACTTGCCTCACTCCTTCAAATACGCTGAAATTCATCGACAGCCTTCCATTTGTTGTTAAATATTTAATAAAAGATTCTATTTTTCTTAACTTCATTAAGTGAAATTATATAAACGTCAGATTCAATTTTTTGTAAAGTGATGATATTTTGCTGTAGCGAAAATAAATTTCAGCGTTTTAGTTCGGTCCTTACGTTTTTAAATACTGTAGTTTACATAAACTAATATTCCATTTGAACAATTTTTATTTATTTTTGCTAAAATGTATAAATATCATATATATAAAAATTTATTGATTATTAATGATAAATCATATCTATTTCATCAATTTAATCTAAAATGAATACACAAAAATAATATGATATTAAAATTATAAAAAATGTATAATGAAAAAAATATAAATAATTGACCATAAATTAATTTTTATAATAATAATATTTATAAAAAATATATATAAATATATATATAAATATTTTACATAAAAATAAAAAATCGACAATAGTTATTGAAATAAAAATTATTGAATATTATTAATTCAAATTATATTTATGTTAAATAATATTTGTCCATCATATTAAATGCTTTCGAGTAAAATAAATTATAACTAATATACAGAATTATAATAAATAATAATAAATTTCATATTCAAAAGCATAGTGAACTAATGCAAAATATATTTTTTATTTATTGATTAATAATTAATATATTTTAAAATAACATAAAAAATTATGTTTGATTAATTATTAATGCTGAGTATAAACTTCCTTAAATTGGTGTTTAAATTAATAATTTTTCTAATTAAAACAATTTTAATGTAATTAAAAAATTTATTTAATATATGATTGACAGTAATTTTCAGTTAGCATGTATATCACTAAAAATTAGGTACTATTTTATTCGAGTTATTCGTAAATTATTCGATAGTAGAAATTAAATTTGAAAATATTACAGTTTTATAGTGTAGATACGTGACATATTTTAATATTAATTATTCATTCATTCAAGAATATAAATTATATTACATTAGTTGCTAAAACACCGAAGTAAGAAACTAAATCAGTTTATTTAATTATTTTTTAAATAAATTTAACAATCGAAAGCTAATTTTAATAATTGTCGTTTATCGTTTATTTTTTGTAAAACCAAAACTTTGTTTTCTTGAACTATTTTAATGTAAAACCAATTACCAAGTTGTATTAAAGTAAATTTTTATCCGTATATAACATATTCATTATATCAATCGAATATTTTATAGTGGTTATATACTTTTAGGCCATAAAAAAATTCAAATTTATTTCCCAATATTTTTTTATATACTTTAGTTAATATAAATCAATGTTATAAGGTACTAAAATTATGATCATCTGATATATTTAACAAATAATTTTTTATAAATACATTATATAATTTATCAATTAATTTACATCTTTTCAAAATCGTATAAAAACACGTCAAAAAATATTTTTAATTTTTTACATAACATACATTTCATACAGAAAAATATACTAAGATACCATAGCACCTAGTGAAAGTTAGAAAGAAAAAAGGATAAATACTGATGACACATTTAGTCTGCAGTGTGATAGGGCACAGCATTAATAGTGTTTATTGTCAGTGGTTAATCAATGATAGAGTAGCAATAGATAGAGTAGAACTGAATGTCGACGGGGTAGATCGATAACCACGATCCGAACGATGACGACAGGTGGACTGAGCTATTTTTCACCCCTTCACTGGACGTGTATTTCGGGAAAACGAGTAAAGCGACATAAGATCGATCATCATTTTATAAATATTACAAGAAAAGGCTAGTGCACATTTTAATGGAATTAAATTTTCCGTATGTCAAATATAACCAATATAATTTTCATTTCTATTCGTTCTCCTCGGGTCAAATGTATAATGAATAAAGTATTGGTCAAATGTGTAATACTATAATACTATATTTTTATGGAAACCTTTATGCACAGCAAAAATACTGCATATGTTACAGATTTTTTTCAATTTCTTTGGATATTGGTTAAGTGGTCGTAATTCTATAAAAATAAATTTATTTAAAAAATTGAAATTATAAAATAAAGAATAATGCATAAATTATTTATTCTTTACAATTTTATTTAGTAGTTTTTAAATTCAGTATTGTACACTTTTTCACAATAACGGTTTCAATGAATATTTCATATTTAATACTAAAAATATGGAAACACGGTTATAATAATTATTATAAGTAAGTAAGTGAAATTATATCCAATTTAATCACAAGCATATTAGTTTTATAAGATAGTTGATATAATAACTTGATGTTTTTGCTAAAGAAATTTTAGTTGAAAAATTCATTATTGTTATAATTCATTGGTAATTAAGATATTTTATATGGTAGGAATATAATAACATTTACATATATAATTGTATCATTTATGAACATTATTTAGGAATATAATTATTAAAATTTTGGTATTGATTTTATATAGTTTTATTCAATCAAATACCAAGTGAAATTAAAAATCTTTATTTACATATATATATATATATATATATATATATATATGTGTCTTTTAAAAAGTTCAATCAATTATAAATACTTGGAAATTCAACAGTAACTTTTTAATATCTAAATAATATAAAAATGAAAATACTACAAAAAGAAAGAAGAAAAATATTAGAATCTAATATACTTATAATTTATATATATAATGTAATACTTTATTGATGCATTGGATTTTATAATAGACTATATTATAATGATTACTTATTTATTTCTAAATTTTTGTGTAAAATTTCAGAGGTCACATAGATAGACATAATGTAAAAATTACATAAAAAACTAACTTGATAAAATAAATTAATGAAAGTATCAAATATACTGATGTAACACAGACGTTATTCAGTATACATAAAATTTCTTACAACTCATTATTAAATAAGCATTTTTGTTTCGTAACCATAATATATCATTATATAACTAATACTAGATATTTAGAATTTAATAAATAATATATTGAATACTTTGAATACTATTGAATCAAAATAAAGATTGAATCATCTATTTACATTTGTCAAATACATTTTTTATCAATTTTTAATAATTATTTTAATTACTTTTTAGTGCATTAAAATGTTATGTAATAAATTTGTATATCATATTTCAATAATTATTCAA